GAGCCAATTTTTCAAGGTTTTGATGCTTGTGCGGCCCATGCAACTGGAATAAGGGCTCGTTCACACCAGTACATCGATCTGCATTGATCAACACAGGCTCGACACAGAAAATGATTGTTTTACCTGTGCCCTGTTTACATCAGACATGTAAAAAGGGCACTTAAAAAAGTAGCATGTCTGCAGTTTTATGCAGCACAACCCACATCAGCATGCTGCAGTGCAAAAGTTTTTTTTTCAATTTTCAATATTAAAAATAATAAAGATTAAAAAAAAATGTATTAAAATGCATTGCGCTACTCTTCACAACGCACACCAGAACACGTGTCAGGCTACATTCATATGAATGATTAGCACACCCAGCAGCAAGAATCTGTGGATTCCTGCAGCTCGATTGTCAGGAATGTGCATAAAGCAGGTAATAGCTGCAGCCACCTTCAGCCTCTCCTTGCATTTTATGGACTGAGTGGCTACAGCTATCTGTGACTGTTGGCACAGCCAGCGATTATCTGAGATGATTGTGGCTGGATGCAAAAAGGCTGCTCCAGCTGTGACCATCTGTCCCTAACCACAGGTAATCACTGGTTGTGTAAACAGTCACAGACAGCTGCAGCTGCCATCGGCTTCTTATTGCATTTTATGGCCTGAGTGGCTACAGCTATCCGTGACTGTTTGCACAGCCTGCAATTATCTGTAATGACTGTGGCTGGATGCAAAAAGGCTGCTCTAGCCATGACCCTCAGTCCCTAACCACAGGTAATCACTGGTTGTGTAAACAGTCATGGATAGCTGCATCCATCAACAGCCCCTCATTGCATTCTATGGACTGAGTGGCTGCAGCTATCCGTGACTGTTCACACGGCCAGAAATTATCTGCGATGATTGTGGCTGGATGCAAAAAGGCTGCTACAGCAATGACCATCCGTTCCTAACCACAAGTAATCACTGGTTGTGTGAACAGTCACGGATAGCTGCAGCTGCCATCAGACTCTCATTGCATTCTATGGACTGAGCATCTGCAGCTATCAGTGACTGTTCGCACAGCCAGCAATTATCTGTAATGATTGTGGCTGGATGCAAAAAGACTGGTCTAGCCATGACAATCTGTCCCTAACCACATGTAATCACTGGTTGTATGAACAGTCAGGGATAGCTGCAGTCGCCATCAGCCTCTCATTGCATTCTATGGACTGAGCGGCTGCAGCTATCTGTGACTGTTCATACAGCCATTACCAGCGGTGATTGTAGCTGGATGCAAAAAGGCTGCTCCAGCCATGACCATCGGTCCCTAACCACAGGTAATCACTGGTTGTGTGAACAGTCATGGATAGCTGAGGCCACTGTCCACCTGTCATTGCATTATATTGGCTGAGAGCCCGCAGATCTTTGCACAGCCAGCTATTACTTGCAGTTAGGGACAGATGATTGTGTCTGGATGCCGTCTTTTTGCAGATGTGAGCCTATTATTGCATTACATAGGCTGAGCCTCAAGTCTCAGGAATCCACCAAATTTTGCAGCTGGAATTTGCAATGTGTACTAATCACCCTTGTGAATATGGCCTAATACAGAGCATAACCTGTACAGGTTGGTGACAATGGGCCCTTACACCCCATTTACACTTGTGCAACTTGTCTTGTGACTTTGGACATCAAAGTCGTATGGCAAGTCGTACCCCATGTGTTCCAATGGTAGCAATTTAGTCGTTGCAACTTCATAGTAGTTCATGCACTACTTTGGTCCAACTTTCATGCAGCTTGAGGGTCATAGACTTCAATGTTAACCCTCATAAGTTGCATGAAAGGCATAAAACAGTGGTGCAACAGTGGGTCCGAATTTGCAGACGGACAAAAAGTCACATCCAAGTCGCACCCTTTTTGCAGATGGATAATAACTCACATCCAAGTCGCACCCATTTTGCAGACGAACAAGTCACATCCAAGTCGCACCCACCCAAAGTTGTGTCAAAGTCGCAATCTAAAGTTGTACAACTTTGGAGTCATAGAAGTGTGAATGGAGTCTTAAGCGGGCCATAGGCAGGGAGAAAACCAGACTTTTTTTTGTTTTTTTTTTAAAATCGGTCTTTCAATCGGCCGACGTTACCACCATTGGTATAGAAAAGTCGGCTGATTTTCGTCCCGTCTACGGCCAGCAAATATAATAGCGGTGTCCCTGCAGAGAGCTCCACTATTATATTTGACAGAAGAAATAGAATATGAATAAGAAGAAGAAAAAGCTGCAACATTGTATCTATTTGTATCCATTTCAGATACAGATGTTTCTATTCAGATACAAATAGATACAATGTTGCTATACTTTTAAATGTCAAATATAATATCGGACTGAAATTTTTTTTTCTTATTCATATTCTATTTCTTCTTTTTCTTCTTCTTATTCACTAACAAACTCATGCAGACTCCACCTCCGCAACATCGCCAAAATCCGCACATTCCTAACCCCAGAAACCACTAAACAGCTCATCCACTCCCTCATCATATCACGACTCGATTACTGCAACTCCCTCCTCACTAGCATGCCTCGCCACAGGCTATCCCCGCTTCAGTTGATCCTGAATTCTGCAGCCAGACTCTTCCACCTTACCAACCGCTCCGTTTCCGCCACCCACCTTTGCCAATCCCTCCACTGGCTTCCGATTGCCCAACGTATCAAATTCAAAATCCTAACACTGACGTTCAAAGCTGTCTATCATACTGCCCCGAACTACATCACCGACCTAATATCCAAATACCACCCAAAACTTACTCTCCGTTCCTCACAAGACCTCCGCTCTAGTTCCCTGGTCTCTTCCTCCCATGCTCGCCTCCAGGACTTCTCCAGGGCGTCACCCATCCTCTGGAACTCCCTACCCCAATCCATCAGACTATCACCTACTCTCTTTCCTTTAGGAGCAACCTGAAAACCTATCTCTTCAGGGAAGCCTACCCCACCCCCTGCTAATTGCTGATCTCCTCCACTCTCCCTACCACGTCATCCCCCACAGCTATCTCCTCCTGTACCACTCTCCCCTCCCTCCTAGATTGTAAGCTCCAAGGAGCAGGGCCCTCGAACTCCTCATGTATCGCATTGTATTTTTATTGTACTGTCGCATGTATTGTCTCCCATTGTATTGTACAGTGCTGAGCGAACTATTGGCGCTTTATAAATACTGTATAATAATAATAATTCTATTTCTTCTTTTCCTTCTTCTTGCTGGTCTCTGCTCATGCACATTTTTTAAAATCGGTAAAAAGATCGGCTGATTTGTCCATCATTGCCGCGAAAATCGGCCGAACGACAAAATTGGCCGATTTTTTTTTTCCCAACATGACCGACAAAAAAAAGGTGTCAAAATCACGAAAAACGGGCAACTGATTACCCCACTAACGATCCGAAAATCGACCGATTTTTTTTTTCGGACGAAAAATCGGCCGGATTTCTCCCCGTCTATGGCCTGCATTAGACCCAGTTCACACTGTCACGTTGTGGGAATGCGCATGTTACAGCGACAGCTGGGACTGCATGCTACTGGCAATGCTGGGCCACTCGTTCTGAATGACACCTTTGCTGATGAAGGTGTGTCACACCACAGTGCACCCCGAGGCAATACAGTGGTGTGCTGTGAAAAGAACATTGCCGGTCTGATATTACGACTGGAGAGTTGTGTGACAGCCCATTCATTCTGAATTGCCTGCCTGAGGGCTAGCTCACAAGTGTGGCATTCAGTGCTGCTTCTCTAAAAAGCAATCCACGCTTGGATCCGCATGCTCAGTGGGGATCTCTTTGCTGATCTCCGCTGAGCAAGCAGATGACAGCTCTGTGTCCGCTCCGCTGCTGCAGAGCGGACACAGAGAAGCTTGCTCTCCTCAATGGGTGGTTGGATGAAAACAGACCGCCTGTCCGTTTTCATCTGACCCGACCTGATGGAGGGAAGGGGAATTGGATCCCCATCTGTCTCTTTTTGGCGGATCGGATGTCGGCAGGTGTAAACGGACACATGTCTGTTTACACCTGCTGCTCCATAGAGGAGAATAGAGGTTCCGATCGGGTCCGTCTGAAAAAGGTGGACCCAATCAGAACGTCCATGAGAAAGAGGCGTTATCGCTTCATTTAACAATACAGTTGTGCCATACTACTGTGCTGCAATTGTGCATGCAACGGAACAACATTAGCAGCAATCAGCTGAACACCGCCTGCCAAAAATGATGCACTGTTTACGTTTTGCCGCTGCATGCCGTGAGCCGCTGTGTAATATGGTACAAAACAGGGAGTCGGGGGGGTGGGAAAACCTAATGCAGAAAATGCTGATGTGCGCAAGAAAAAAAAAAAACGCACATTTTATGCATTGTAATATTTGAGCCCTGCCTTCATCAGACGTAGCGCACAAAATACACACCTGCTTTTCTTTTGGGCGCCGCAGTGCACAAAATACACACTTGCCCTTCTTTTGGGCGCCGCAGCGCACAAAATACACACCTGCTCCTCTTTTGGGGGCACCACAGCGCACAAAATACACACCTGCTCTTCTTTTGGGGGCGCCACAGCGCACAAAATACACACCTGCTCTTCTTTTGGGGGCGCCGCAGCACACAAAATACACACCTGCTCTTCTTTTGGGGGCACCACAGCGCACAATATACACACCTGCTCTTCTTTTGGGCGCGTAGCGCACTAAACCGCCTGTACATTCACAGAGTGATAAAGTGCAGGTTGGTGGGCTGACGCTGCATTTTCCTGGGCTGACCAGGGACACCATGTTACAGCCATCGATTATCATTGGGTGGATATGGCCTGCCTCTCATAAATGACATTTCCACACCGGTCAGCTTGGCTGGTCACCTATATAAGACCCAGTCAGTCCTGGCCTCCACAAAAACAGAGAAGGTGCTCCACACACAACTGGAATGTCTATACACATCCCACTCCGTACGTTACAAATAATGTCATGCTTTATTATCATGAAGTCCATTATCACACTCCTATAGGGTTCAATAAAAACGTTACATACAATCACTGCTTCCTTAGGACCCTGGCCTCCCCGGAGCCGCCCCTCGCTGCCTTTGTCTTCCGGCACCCCGGGACGTTGTGCACGCCGAGGCCGCTCACGGTGCCCGGCAGCCGCGATCACGCAAGTCCGGGGATTGAGCAGTGGGGGAAGGGCCCGAGGCGGGGAAATGTGGTGTGGGCTGGTTGTGTGCTGATGTCATGGCTCCTTTCCATCTCCACAATCAATAATGCTGAGCTTCTGTCAGCGTGAAGTGAGGGTGTTGTGGAGAGGAAAAAAAAAAAGTTTCTTGTATGTTTTAGCTGAATAACATTTGTAGGTGTTTTGTAACTTTGTTACCATGGAGTAATGGCGGACCTAAAAACAGTAAGGTTTCTAGAAAGCCAAATCATTGTTTGCAATCTGTGTCCCCTGTGAGAGTTTTCTCTACACTTCCTGTTTTGTAGACACAAGGGGAATTCTGCGGGGTGCCTGAGGTGGTATGACATAAACGTCGGGCATACAGCGTTTCTCTACCTTGTATATAGATACCTGTACACGGGTACACCCCGGTACTTGCCTACACATGCAAATGCATATGGAGAACGCCCTCATAAGCAGACGCACACATGCGTGTGTTTGTACAAGTATTGGGGTGTACCTGCCATTATGGCATTCTATGGATGGCTGTATGCAGTGCCTGTGGCTCCCGGCGGGAAATGAGGTCCAAAGCAGATCTTCCAAGGTAAAAATCTCCTGTTGATTTACATCCAAAATATACCCGGAAAGAAAAATGATTAAGGGCCCTTTCACACGGGTGCGCTTAAAAAATGCATAGGGCCCGTTCGCACCAGGACGCCATGTGGGAAACCTGCCTTCTGTGCGTTTCAAAACGCACTGGGCGTGTGACCTGCTGTGGGTGTCAGTGTATTCCTAGCGACACTCCAAACGCAGATCGCAAATGCAGCACTTTGCTTGCACTGGATTGCATAGTACCGCAGTACCAAGTGATCCAGTTGCAGTGCTGTTTTAAAAGTAGCGCGTGCATTGGTTTTGGTGCGATCCCGTGTGATTTGAGCTCATTCACATGAATATCATCGCACAGAAATCACACAGGAACACGGAGCGCATTGCTCTGCCATTCCAGTATGAACCAGCACTTAACACTCGTTTAACCATTTGCTTTCAGTGCTGTTGCACTTTGAATGACAAAAAGAAAAAAAGAGCACAAAATTAAAACAAAAAAGTTTTTCTTTGTTTCTGTTATAAAAATTTTGCAAACAGGTAATTTTTCTCCTTCACTGATGTGCATTGATGAGGCTGCACTGATGAGGTGGCACAGATAGGCACCACTGATGGGTGGCACTGATGAGGCGGCATTGATGAGGCGGCACTGGTGATGCTGCACTGATATGCAGCAATGACGGTCACTGATAGGCAGCACTGATGGGCACTGATAGATGACACTGATGGGCGACACTGACGGGTGGCGTTGACTGGCAACACTGACTGATGGCACTGACTGGCGGTGCTGCTGGGCAGCACAAATGGGTGGCACTGCTCGGCAACACTGATGGGTGGCAGCGCTGGGGGCACTAATGGGTGGCATTGCTGGGCACTGCTGAGCATTGGCACTGCTGGGCACTGGTGGGTGGCACTGCTGGGAGGCACTGCTGGGCACTGATTGTCACTGGTGGGAGGCACTGATGGGCATTGATTGGCACTGGTGGGAGGCACTGCTGGGTACTGGTGGGTGGCACTGCTGGGCACTGGTGGGAGGCACTGCTGGGCACTGGTGGGTGGCACTGGTGGGAGGCACTGCTGGGCATTGATTGGCACTGGTGGGAGGCACTGATGGGCATTGATTGGCACTGGTGGGTGGCACTGCTGGGCACTGGTGGGAGGCACTGCTGGGCACTGGTGGGAGGCAGTGCTGGGCACTGATTGGCACTGGTGGGTGCCACTTCTGGGTGGCACTGCAGGGCACTGATCATCAGTGCCAGTCTGCTCTGTGGCAGCTGCCGGTTATCGGCAGTACTTTCATCTTGCTGTGACAGTGTGAGGAAAGTGCTCCGATAACCGGCAACTGTATGTACTCCGTGATCTGCTGTGTCACGTGGTAAAAGGCCGTTGTGATTGGCCTTTTACCTCATCACGTGATCAGCTGTGATCATAGGAGGGCGTGTTCTGGGAGGACGTCATATGACGCCCTCCCAGAACTGTATAACCACGCTGTAGATGCCATTCGGCTATAGCACGGTTAGTAAGTGGTTAATGGGTTTTCGGAGCACTTCCTGACTCCCACCATTCACCTATGAAATATGGATTTGCAACTCCAAAAATGCAGCATAAGACGCAATTCACTTCTGATGCATTTCCGTTGACCTTCAATGGAAGAAGCGCTTTTGATGCACTTTTGAGAAGCACACCAAAGATGCAGCATGCAGGACGTTTCAAAAAAATGCAGCTCAGAAGGTGTAAGTATAATAACACCCAAGAGCAAAAAAAAAAACCCAAAAAACTTGAAGGGCAATTACTGATCCCAAAACCATTAAAAAAAAACCTACCAAACTTCACAATTATACACAAATAAATCCAAATACAATTCCAAAGAAATAAAAGAAAAATAAATAAATAAACAATTTTAAAAAATAAAGAAATAAAAAAATATATATACATATAATGTCTAAAAATGTATAAGAATAAAGTCTCTCTGATGATTATATGCAACTATGTATCTTCTTTGGATCCGTTAATCTAACACCTCCGTGTACAGGATTCAGGCCAGCTCTGTGCCCAACACCTGTGCTCATAAATAAACTCACCAGGGTAGTATGACCTTAATAAATATTCAGGGAAAATGCTCTTAGTTCAAACAATCCTTCCCCTCGTTCTTTAAATGTACATTTCCTCTGATAGCGCTACAAATCCTGGCTATCCTCTCAGGTAATGTAAAAGCACATAAAACTCCACATAGTGTATTTATACTACTAAAATTACATCATTTAAAACAAAAACAAAAAAAAACAAAGCCTGCACTGACATCCAAAGGTGATGCAAACAGCACCAGTTTAAAACAGGATATATATATAATTATAAATATATATATATTATATATATATATATATATATATATATATGAGAATCCCTTGCTGTTATACATTTCCACTGTCTCTAGATGTCTCAGTCCCAAATGTGTTTCCCTAGCCAGTGGAGATTCTTACAAATGCATGCTCAGGATCTTCCTTCCGACGCGTTTAGTCACAAAAGACTTTTTTCAAGGGACTCCTTGAAAAAAAAGTACTTGAAAAAGTCAGAAATATTTTTAGCATCACAAAGGACTTTTCAAGAGATCCCTTGTGAGAAAACGTGTGCTTAGTTCCCACCAAACCAACGCATTTCATCTCTAACGGGTTTTTCAAGGGATACCATGTGAGAAAACGTGTGCTCAGGCCCCGCCAAACCAACGCATTTCATCTCTAATGAGTTTTTTCAAGGATTCCCATGTGACAAAATGTGCTCAGGCCCCGCCAAACCAACGCATTTCATCTATAATGAGTTTTTCAAGGGATCACTTGTGACAAAACGTGTGCCTAGGCCCCGCCAAACCAACGCATTTCTTCTCTAACGAGTTTTTCAAGGGTTCCCTTGTGACAAAACGTGTGCTCAGGCCCCGCCAAACCAAAGCATTTTATCTCTAACGAGTTTTTCAAGGGATCCCTTGTGACAAACCGCGTGCTCAGGCCCCTCCAAACCAACGCATTTAATCTCTAATGAGTTTTTCAAGGATTCCCATGTGACAAAACATGTGTGCAGGTCCCGCCAAACCAACGCATTTCATCTCTAACGAGTTTTTCAAGGGATCCCTTGTGACAAAACATGTGCTCAGGTCCCGCCAAACCAGCGCATTTCATCTCTAACAAGTTTTTTCAAGGGGTCCCTTGTGACAAAACATGTGCTCAGGCCCTGCCAAACCAATGCATTTCATCTCTAACAAGCTTTTCAAGAGATCCCTTGTGACAAAACGTGTGCCTAGGCCCCGCCAAACCAACGCATTTCATCCCTAATGAGTTTTTCAAGGGATCCCTTGTGACAAAACGTGCCTAGGCCCCGCCAAACCAACGCATTTCATCTCTAACGAGTTTTTCAAGGGATCCCTTGTGACAAAACGTGTGCTCAGGCCCCTCCAAACCAACGCATTTCATCTATAACAAGTTTTTCAAGGGATCCCTTGCGACAAAACGTGTGCTCAGGCCCCGCCAAACCAACGCATTTTATCTCTAAGGAGTTTTTCAAGGGATCCCTTGTGACAAAACGTGCTCATGCCCCGCCAAACCAACGCATTTCATCTCTAATGAGCGTTTCAAGGGATCCCTTGTGACAAAACGTGCCTAGGCCCCGCCAAACCAACGCATTTCATCTCTAACGAGTTTTTCAAGGGATCCCTTGTGACAAAACGTGCCTAGGCCCCGCCAAACCAACGCATTTCATCTCTAACAAGTTTTTCAAGGGATCCCTTGTGACAAAACGTGTGCTCAGGCCCCTCCAAACCAACGCATTTCATCTATAACAAGTTTTTCAAGGGATCCCTTGCGACAAAACGTGTGCTCAGGCCCCCCGCCAAACCAACGCATTTTATCTCTAAGGAGTTTTTCAAGGGATCCCTTGTGACAAAACGTGCTCAGGCCCCGCCAAACCAACGCATTTCATCTCTAATGAGCGTTTCAAGGGATCCCTTGTGACAAAACGTGCCTAGGCCCCGCCAAACCAACGCATTTCATCTCTAACGAGTTTTTCAAGGGATCCCTTGTGACAAAACGTGTGCTCAGGCCCCCTCCAAACCAACGCATTTTATCTATAACAAGTTTTTCAAGGGATCCCTTGTGACAAAACGTGTGCTTAGGCCCCGCCAAACCAACGCATTTTATCTCTAACGAGCTTTTCAAGGGATCCCTTGTGACAAAACATGTGCTCAGGCCCCGCCAAACCAACGCATTTCATCTCTAATGAGCGTTTCAAGGGATCCCTTGTGACAAAACATGTGCCTAGGCCCTGCCAAACCAACGCATTTCATCTCTAACGAGTGTTTCAAGGGATCCCTTGAAAAAGTCACAAGTAATTTTTTTTTTCATCACAAAGGATGTTTTCTAGGGATCACTTTAAAAATTCTTTTGAAAATAGTG